GGAGTAAAAATTTTAAAAATTCCCACTAACCTAGACTTTACATTTTTGGAGATTACGGAGGCAACGCATGTTTCACTGTACCACGGCCGCTTGATGCCCTCCTCTTGCGGGCTGTGACTTTACTATATGACTCATGACCTGTCAAGCCAGTTACTTTTTGCGTATTCTAGGCGGAACCATTTTAACGACTATAGCGCCGCCTACATTTATCCTCCGGGTTTGAAGCAGTCTCCGACCACCATTCGGGGACTGGTTCAAGCCCGGACAGAGCGTGCATTGCATAGCACTGGCGCGCCCACAAAGGGGGGGGGGGGGGGGGGGGGGGGGGTCATACTGCCCCCCCCTCCTTCCCCCAAATTTTGTTTTGTGTATTTTGACGATTTTTTTAATGTATGGTCCGCAATGATTAAGGGTAAATTATTTAATCGCCCCCTCCCCTCCTTTTTCTCCCCTCACCGTTGCATTGGCAATGTACACGGCACAAGCGAGTCATTTCCGTAATATACAATCTTACATTGGCAGATGGCACATTATTACCAAAATTACCTATGTGGTGAAAAGTGCCCATCTGATGCACCAACCTAGGCGTCACAACCTTGCGTCCCTCGATGTACTGTCCGAGCAAAATGCAGAAACCGCCGATGATCATATTCACGCTGATAGTGTCGTGGGGTGTACAGTCTCCCGCAATGGCTCCCCTACCCGGGGGGGGGGGGGGGTTTGAGGGCCTAGACCCCCCCCCCTCCCCCCAGAATTCAGTAGCGGTCAATATGAACCCCCCCGCCCCCGTTGCATTGGCGATGATGTACACCGCGCGACAGAGTTAGTACGGAGTTGGTTCCCGATTTTCTTATCGTACACTGAGAAATTACACTATTTTCGCAATTACTTATGTGGTAAAACGGGCTCATTTCAGGCCCCAACCAAGGTGTTAACACTTTCCGTCCCTCGACATGCTGTTTGAGCAAAATGCAAAAACCGCCGGTGTCGCGGTGTGTATACAATCGTATATTTTATTTTCCTCGAATTTCTCTATCTACTGTAGCAGATATAAAATCATTATCTATTATTTGTTCAGATATGTTTCGTATTTGAAGAAACAAATTCCATCAAAAAGACGAAGCAGGATGTTGGGTTCCAGCAGTTAACCGCTGTGTCGTTTTTGAATCGCGTTCTGTCCCCAACTGTTAAAGAAAAAGCCTCGACACTTTAGGTTATTTCAACGCTTTCTCATTTTTGTGTAGCGCAGGCAGTCTGGAATGTTGTATACAAAACGCTAAGATATGCGTTCCACACGAAATTTTAGATTTGTTTCCAAAACAGGTCTTTCAGAATAATTTTATATAATTGATTGCATGGACTGCGTGCGCCATCGCATTTCGAACTATATATATTTATCGTGCATTTCTGCGAGTAATATTCTTGAAGGTGATAAGTTCAGTTCAGCACGCTGATAAAAGCGTTTTTTTCCCTTGGATATTAAGACAAAATAAAAATAAAATAACGAACATTAGACACACAACCTTAGTTCATGCGTCGTGCTGTGCGATATTTCATTTCTTCTTTTGTCTCAGAGACTCGGACGACGACGCCTCGCTGGAAGGTTTTCGCCTTGTCACGGTCGGCTCCACGGAAAGGCGAGGCGGCAAGAAAAATTTTCTTCCGTTAAAAGGCAGGCGAGCTAGGATAGACATGGTAACCCTGGAGTGAGGGTACAAAAAAGGAATGTATGACTCCCAGCATCGAGAAGTCGACCATTCAGTAGACGCCATCATCCTCACTGGATTCCTCTGTGCGACCCGTTTCTGCCCAGCATCTTTCAGTTTCTGCAGCGACTTACCAAATGACTTGGAGATCTACGTTAGAAAGTCGATAAGTGTGACTAGATTTTTTTTTTCTCGAATCCTTGGCATTGCTTAGACAACACTTGGACATCCCCAGGATGTCCTCAGGACAACCTTTTGAGGACATTATGTTGTCCTGAGGATGTCCTCAAGTGATCCCGGAAACATCCTACAAACGTCCCGTTGTCCGGCCTCAGGACATCCTCAGAACATCCTCAGGAGGGCAACCAAGGATCTTTCTAGTACATTTTTAGGACAATGCACTGCAGGTGCAGCTGTTCACTGAGCTGTTAGAAGGCTTTCATTTTTATTGTTCCTAGGTTTTCTCCAACTGGATTTTGAACCTGAAAATGCCTACAAAAGCTGCCTGCAAAAAAAAAAAAAAAATAGCATTTTTGTGTTGTATTTTAAAGTGAAATTCACCCACTAATGCTAGATTACTAGTCAGAGAGAGGCTAAGAACATAGGACAAGGGAAAGGAGGAAGAAAGCTGGCGGAATGCTTAAGAGGATAGAAGAAAACCTCTCCCCTCCAGCATCCTGTCGGCTTCCTCCTCTGCGTATTTCTTTGCGCCATGTTCTTAGCCTGTAACTGTGAGCATGATCGTGCCATTGATTATTGCAAACAAAGTTAACTGTTCAAGAAATACTTTATTGCAGAGCAAATGTTATACATGCCTATTTTCAATGTCTGCACCAGACGTGCAGTCTGGCTTCGCATCTTGGCCAGCACTAGTCCAAATAGTCAGCGGGATCTACAAAAAAAAAAAAAAAAAAAAAAAAACCCAATTCCATGAGCATTAATAATAACAACAGGTAATGTGAGAAACTTACCATCATGTCGAACATCTCCGGCCTTTGACTGCAGCTTTTTCGGTTTCTCTCCAGCATGGCGTAGCCACGCTTTGATGATAGTCTCCACGTCAGCTTTGTTTGCTCACTCAAAATTTGCTTTCACTGCTCCTGAAATATGGATTTGTGATGACAGTCACAGCAGAAAACTAAGATGGTCTAGAAAAAAATCACAATTAATGTTCGTGCGGGGAAGATACCCTTGGTACCAAGTTTACTTTCGCACAGTTGAAAAGCTCGGAGCTTTCGTTTACGTGCCGGCATCTTTCCCGCCGAAATTGCCGTTCATTACTTTCCGCCATTTCGAAGAAGTACTACATTTAAAAACACACTAACCTTTGCCACTGCCTTGCATTGCTGCCATCATCAATTTGGATGGAATAGCGCGGATATACAGACTCGCAGCGCTGATTAACAACTCGGCGATATATTTCTTCTTCCTCAAATCGTCATCATCTTCTCCTTCGCGTTAATGAGAACATTTTAAATTTTAAACACAAGAAACCAAATAGCCAATATACATTAATAAGTAAATAATAAATAAATAAATGACAGTTTAAAATAAAAATACTAAGAAAAAAAATGAAGTTAAAAACATTTGTTTAGAAAATAAATTAGAATTAAAAATTAAACTTAAAAAAATGTCTTAATTTTTAAGTTCTATTTTTAGTTGTCATTTATTTGTTATTTATTTATTAATGTTTGTTGGCTATTTGGTTTCTGGTGTTTAAAAATTTTAAATGTTCTCATTAACAGCGAAGGAGAAGATGACGATATCAGGAAGAATAAATATATCACTAGTTGTTACCAGCGCTGGGAGTCTGTTTCCTTCTTGTGCGCCTGTGAGTGAGACCGTATCCGCGCTGTTCCATCCAAGCATGAATTACCAACTAAACCAAGCATCCACATTATCAAGCCATCATCAACCTCGAGGCTATTTCTGTTTCTATCCTGGCTTGGCTTAGCTTGCTTGAGTCTCTCGGATAGGTGGATAATTGTCATAACGGTACACCTTGCAGTAGGCGGTAGCTTGCGCCACCTAGATTGAACGTTGCCAATGGAACTGAATTCCGAAATACTGCGCAAATACAAAACTAATAATAATTGTAGTGCATCTTGGTTTTATTAAAGAATTGTTTGATTAAAACTATAGTTAAAAGATGTCCTAAACTTACGCAACTACATGTAACAATTTGTATGTGAAATTTAGTTGATCAGTGAACGTGAACTGTGTATACTACCGCCACTTGATTCATTTTTTTTTTAAACGCAATAAAAAAATTGAGGACGTATATATTACCTCTAACTTTGTATCCTTCGTCCTCAATAAGTCCCCGGAAGGACGTTTCTAGGATGCTCCAGAGACTGACGTTCTCAGGACGTCCTGAGGACGTCTTGAAAACCGTGAGGACGTTTGTACCTTTTGACGACGTCCTGAGGATGTCGGGTGTTGTCTGGGTGTTTTCCACATACATAACGTCCAAAATTGTATGCCGCATCTAACTAATCAAATGACCTGAAAGTTGAACTCAACAATGTTAAGTTGGGGATTGATTAATTTTAACTTTTAGCGAATTTTAGAAATGACCTCGCTTTTTGGAAGACTTTCTTGCTTGGTTTATCCTCTTTTTTTTGTTTTTTGTCGAACTGTTAGGCTTTGTGAGTACAGAGGAGGCCATTGCTTTGGCGGTTCAATACAAATGAGCGGAGTAAAATGTACTCCCCCAGTAAAGTATTCGGCCTCTGGGAGCGCGTCCGACGGGCATAGAGCATACACTTTTGAGTAACGTCGCTTCTGGTAGGCGTTAAAACATCGTTTTGATTTATCCAGGCCGCTGGAAGGTGTTCACAAAAAATGCGTGATTGTTTACGCATTCTTGTTTTGCCTCGCCTATACTTTCCCGCATATTCCAGCTTTAAATGTCTTATTATTTCTTCCTCCCGCATACCAGATACACGGAACCTACGTAACTGAGAACGAAAGTAAAAGAAAAACGTTGCGCTAACACACTCGGCAACCGATCCTCGCTCTTTCCTCGCGCTTTCGTGCATGCATGGTCGGTACCGCTCGGGCCGAGGAGCGCACGAGGCACGTTCTGGGCGTTCGATCGGTTCTCCGCGTCACATCGCCACGGCACTGATTTGACTGCTTCTGGACTTCCATTACCCGGCTGACCCCCTTTCATTCTGGCCAGCTTTCTCACCGAGAAGATTCTGCCGACACTCACGAAGCGCTCTGCGTACGTTTCTCCGCTGCTGATAAGCCTGCGGGCTGTATCCCCGGCCTGGATCGGAGATGGCGTCCATGGGAGACCGAGACAGCGTTCGTCTGGACTACTATCAGCGTCTGGTGAAACACACCATCCTCAGGCACACGGACCCCGTCACCGGGCTCATCCCCAGCCAGAAGTTCGACACGCATGCGTGGGTGAGGGACAACGTGTATTGCGTCCTTTGCGTCTGGGCGCTCTCCCTGGCGTACAAGAAGAGGGCCGAGTTGGATGAGGACCGTGCCAGGACGTACGAGCTCGAGCAGAGCTGCGTGAAGCTGATGCGGGCGCTTCTCCTGGCCATGATGAAGCAGACGGACAAGGTGGAACGCTTCAAGGAGACGCTTAGCACACAGGACTGCCTGCACGCCAAATACAGGTGCGTGCAGATTATTATTATTATTGTTGGTAACAGTATAAGTTGATGGCCTAGTTGGTTGAACATAACAAAGACACTTGGCGCGAAAGAGACAAGTCGAAGACAAGATAATCGTTGTCGTATAGGAAAGATATTGTAACAGCTATAATAAGTTTATGACCTAGTTGGTTAAACATCACAAAATAAGTAGAACACTGTAGAATAAAGGAATGGTAACAATATACGTTAATGGCATTGTTGGTTGTCCTGTCCAGTCTTCTACTTAATGTCCTTTGTTTTTTGCGCTGTCTTTGTATTATTTAGGTGGAAAGTTAATTAATGCACCTACCAACTAATCGATTTATACATTAATTATCGTTTAATTTTTCAATTAACTGATTGGTAAAAAACAAGAACCCTCCTGTGGGGTCGCCAGGGCCACCATTTTCGTCTCTATCAATCCATCAAGAATTTAGTCACTTAACGTCAATAAACTTACATTTATTACTTATCAATCTCAAAATCAAGAATTTAGTCACTTAACGTCAATAAACTTACATTTATTACTTTCTGCTGGAGAACATTCCTTTTTATTGGCACTTCATTCCATTTCTTATGTTGCTACCACCCACGGTAAGAAGTAGAAGGTATGGATAATGCACCGCGATGCTCCTTTTTTTGAGCCTCGTATTTGAAGCGAATGATTATCTCCGTCGTGGAGTTGACAGGCTTTCTAGAATAAAGGAGGCTATGCTTCTGTTGCAGCAGCGACGTAGCCAAACTAGCTGGTGAAATCGATCTGTTGTGTTCCCCAAATTTCTAATGTAATATGATTTATTACTTCTCAATAATTGAGAAATCCTACCAGCCTCCACACAAGGCCGATTAATCGATCAATTAATCTATTAATTAACTGGTCAAGAAATTTTACTTGGTGCACAAATCCAGTTATTTTTTGCACGTCGTCGCAGGTGCGTGCGATTTTTCAACGAACATACTCGGTATTTTACAGCTCTCTGACGGGAGACTCGTGCGTGGGAGACGGGGAATGGGGACACCTGCAGCTGGATGCCACCTCCCTCTACCTTCTGGCTCTGGCCCAGATGACCGCGTCTGGCCTCCAGATCGTCTTCAACCTGGACGAGGTAGCCTTCATACAGAACCTCATATTTTACATCGAATCGAGCTACTGCATCTCCGACTACGGCATCTGGGAACGAGGAGACAAGACCAATCACGGTTTGCCCGAACTCAACGCAAGTTCTGTGGGTATGGCTAAGGCGGCCCTTGAGGCCATGGACGAGCTTGACCTGTTCGGGGGACGCGGTGGGCTCTCTTCTGTGATCCACGTGCTCGCCGACGAGGCGCAGAAGTGCGACGCTGTACTTCACTCTATGCTGCCCCGGGAGTCCAACTCCAAGGAGCTGGACGCCGCTCTCTTGTCGGTCATTGGGTTCCCTGCCTTTGCCGCCACGGACCCCAGCCTGATTGAGTTGACACGTACGGCCATTGTTGAGAAGCTCCAGGGCCAGTACGGATGCAAGAGGTTCCTCCGAGACGGCTATAAAACACCCAAGGAGGACCCGAAGCGGCTTCACTACGAGCCATGGGAGCTGCACGCCTTCGAGAATATCGAGTGCGAGTGGCCTATCTTTTTCTGCTACATGGTCGTAGACGCCTGCTTCCGGGGCGACCGGAACATGGTGGACGAGTACAGCGAGATGCTGGAGCGTTTGGTGATCAAGACGGAGGAAGGATTCAAACTGGTTCCAGAGATGTACATGGTTCCCGAAGACAAAGTGACCCTCGAGTACGCCGTGCCCCACAGCCAGGGACGCCTACCCATCGGCCAGATTCCTTTTATGTGGGCACAATCGCTTTACGTGGTAGGCAGGCTGCTTCACGAAGGCTTTCTGGCACCTGGAGAGTTAGACCCGCTCAACAGGAGATTGGGCTCTCTGAAGCGTCCGGAGGTGGTGGTGCAAGTGGTGCTGCTGGCAGAGAATGTCCAAGTGCAAGCCAAGCTAACGGAACTTTGTCCGCGATTGGAAACTGTGGCCGAAGTGGCTCCCGTGGAAGTGCAACCAGCCCGAGTGCTTGGACATCTCTACTCTTTTTTGGGCCAGAACCGGAAACTCAACCTCTCGGGGAGGCTGTCCAAGGACGTTGGCCTTCTGGCCACCAGCAAGCTATATGTGCTGCAGGATCGGCTCTTTGCTTTTGGCCCTCAAAATTTGGACAGCGAAGAGTTCCACCTAGTTCATGACGTGGATCTATTTGCTAGCACTCTGGGCTCAGACATAGCTGTAGTGCGCTCTCACTGGAACATGCTGGGACGCCCCACTATTGTGGTAACTCTACAAGCCCGCCAAATGGAGGGAGACAAGGTACCAATGGCACTCCGTCAGACGATCCTAAAATTAGCTGCAGGCTACATCCATGGCACTCGGGTGTTGCTTGGAAGCCTTGAAGACTTCCTCAGCACCTCGTGCCTAGCGAGCCTAAGCTTTCTTAATAACCATGAGGAAGGAGACTCTGATTCTCTGAAGCTCCATGTAATTCACTACCTTGAACGAGAACTTTATCGGTCTTCCCTTCGCCGTGACTTTCGAGCCAAGACTTCTTTGGGGACTGGACATCCACTTCCACGTGGACGACCAAAGTCGGGGGTGGCAGGCTGGATAAAACACTCGCGCCCTATACAGCCAGAGGAAACAGATTTCCCTTCTACTTCTGCCGGTACGTCGCGTCGCACTTCGACATCGGAGGACGAACCCCAAGGCTTCGTACGAGCTGTATCCGAGCTGCGATTGGACCATGTTACCGAACGTGAGCTGCTGACAACTTTGCAAGAGACGGGCTCCATGGAAGAGCAAGGCGACATCTTGCACTATTTGGCCTGTCACAAGGGGCTCTCGTGGGACACGGGCCTAGGGAAGCCTCCTGAAGTGGTGACGGTCAAAGACCTATTCTTAGACTTTTACGAGCGGGCCTGCCAAGAGAAAAAGTGGGGTCTGGTACGCCACTTCGCGGGTTCTCTGGGAAAGCGCGTGGAAGACTTGGCCAAGTCGGTGACGGACCTGCTCGTGCGCCAGAAGCAGGTGACCGTAGGCATGCCGCCTTACAATGAAATCACAGTCACGCGACCCCGGTCTACCAAGGAGCTGCGCATCCTCATTGCAAAGGCCTACCGCGGAGACGAGAGCACAGCAATGTTGACGCAGGAGGTGCTTGTCTACCTGGGCATGTTTATTCACACAGACCCGCAGCTCTTCGAGGAAATGTCGCGCCTGCGTGTGGGCCTCATCATCCAGGTGATGGCCTCTGAACTGGCCCACCACTGTGCCCCTGAGAACGCCAGTGACGTGCTCTTGAACCTAAGCCCTTTCGACATTAAGACACTTCTGATGAACATCCTGAGCGGCACCGAGGTCACTGTCAAAAGTGCCTCGTCCGGCATCCTCTCCGTGACGTCGAGCTTCTTCAACAAGCGCCAGGCAGCCGATATTTTTGTGCACAGTGAAGGGGAAGACCTGACATCAGAGCGGCAGGGCCAGTGGCTGCGCAGGCGTCGCTTGGACGGGGCACTGAACCGCGTCCCCAAAGGCTTCTATCCGCGAGTCTGGTCCATTCTGGAGCGGACAACGTCGCTGTTCGTGCGCGGGCGGAGCTTGTTCAGCACCGTCACCAAGGAGATGACGCCTGGTGAACTGAAGTTCGCCCTGCTAGTTGAGCAATTGCTCAACAACATTCCCGAGCCGGAGTACCGGCAACTTCTGGTCGAGGCCCTGATGGTTGCCAGTCTGGCTGTGGAGCAAGAACTACCGTTAAGCGAAGGCCCTGTCGATGTGGAGGGACTGGTCAAGGCGGCACACAGCCTGTTCCTAGAGGACCAGCGACAGTGCCGAGGCAACGCCTCGCTGTGCTGCTGCAAGGGGGGCCAGTCGGAGACCGAGTGGTGCCGCCCCATTGCGGGGATCTGCCAGCACTTCTACGACAGCGCGCCGAGCGGCTGCTTCGGCACCATGACTTACTTGGTCCGGGCTGTGGCCTCGTCTCTCCAGGAGTTGCCTCATCGGGAGCTCGAGTGCTCTACGTCTTAGGATGGTGCGGATCCAAAAAGCATTGGACGGCAGAAAGCCGAAGAACGCTGTCGCGCGTGTGCTTATAATGCGGTGGTGACACGGCGCTTATATCTAGGTGGTGACAGAGAGGAGCAGGTTTCGTGTGCTCTACTTCTCTCTTGCAACATATGCCCTACTTATCTTTAGAGCGGGAAAAACAATTCAATCCCACGATATTGTTATGAAATAAATTACTTCCATAAGTGTCTCAATGTTCTATACGGCTTTTTTATAGTACTCGATGACGACAGCACATGGTCTTAGGAAAAAAAAGGATAGAATAAAGACTGACACGGCATGGTGTCGAGGTACCAGTCAAAATTAAAACACCGAGCCGAATGACGCTTGTTCGTATGCTTTTGAAGAAAGAAAACGTAAAGCATTGCACCAAAAAGGACCTTTAGCATTGATTTATTTATTTTATTTATTTATAATACCTTAAGGGTTCATTTCTGGACATTACACAAAGAGGGGGGGGGGGGGGGGAGATTTGGTCAAATTGCAGTATAGTCAACACATAGAAAAAAAAAAAGAACTTTACCAACAGGATAGCAATATCATAACTGAAAAACCACTGAAAATTATGTATTATACAAATTGCAGATATAACACTTCATTATACATGTGGGCAAGAAAATCATGGTAAACGGAAACTAAATAGTACTTAAAGGGGCCATGAAACGAATTTTGGGTTGGGATGAATGTTTTTAAATTAAGACTTTACTAATCGCATATCGTTTAGTTGGCCAAAAGAAAAAGGCTAGAAAGTCAAAAGCCAGCTTTTCGGTACGAACATTTAAAAATATAGCGGACTATTTTGTACCTTCTTGCCTTCGAAAGCTCTCCGCCTTTTCACTTTGATACATCCGCGGTTCCAAAAGCGCGTCACCGGCGCCAAACTGACGTCAGCAGAGCCCAGCTCACGCATTGGACGCAAGAACTGCGTCACTCGGACGTATACGCTCGTCAACAATCAATCCGTCGACGAATATTTGGATTCGCGTTCGTGGCCAATGAGTGCCCTGACGGAACTTATTGTCACTGGGGAATGAAAAGTTCTACGGTGTGCATAAAAAGCACGGTGGAAGCTAGGAGTCATCGCACCGGTGCCGAAGGAATGTCACGACCACGTGATTCCACAATTCGCATTTGAGTTGAGGATAAAAGCTAAGGAGGAAGAAGTAGAAAAATCGTTTCACGGGCCCCTTTAAAAAATCTAAAACAGCTACTCGGAATGCTGTAGGGTCGGAAAGTGCGGTTATGTGGTACGGAAGAGAATTCTAATGCATGATTGCGCGTGGTAGTGAGGAATTATTAAACGCAAATGTATGACCAAAAATGCGTATATAACTTCGGCTGTTAGTTAAACGGCGAGATGTTCGGTTAGAAGGCTCAAGCAGGGGGGCGATAACGTTAGGGTTAGAATAGCGGAGAGGGCAACCTATTCAGTGATTAGGGCCAATGACCAATGGTATGGAGCAGCATATATACGCTTTCTATTTCCTCTCGTTCTCAGTAACGCGGGTTCCGTTTCTGGTATGCGAGATAAAAAAATAGTAAAATATTTCAACCTGGAATATCTGAGAAAATATATATCTATCACGCATTTTTGTAAAGACCTTCCAGCGGCTTGGAGAGATCAAAACGATGTTTTACCGCAAATCAGAAGTGACGGCATTCAGAATGGCTGTGCCCTGGTGGAGAAGATGTATACCAACTGCGCTGCTTCCGGCGTCATCGGTACAATATTAAAGAGTTTTAGGGAACCGATTCCCTAAAAATCGGCAAACGCGCCGAACCGGCAAACGCGCCGAAGCTTGACGAGACAACGCGGCGCCATGCAGCAAACACATGTGTTCAGTTCCTTGGCTATGTAGTTAAAGCTATGGACGCACGTGCTCTTGCGCGCGTCTTGAGCGCCCATGTAACAAGGGTTAGTGTGCTTAGCGTGCACAATCTAAAGGAAGATGGCTGAACAGATGCTCGGGTTTCAGCGAGGCTCCACGGGCTTTGAAGCACGCGAGTAAAGAACCGCGGTGAGAAGCAAAAAAAAAAAAAAAAGGGATTTGTTTTATTGACAACGATGAAGACAATTAATCTTCGTTAGAAGACGTTGGGAAAAAATCCTTAACAATATGATGAAAAATAGGGACACCGGGAAACAAAAAAAAAGAAGAACTGAAATTTAATAATTTTTTTATGTTGTTTTTGTTTGTCTTTTTGTATTTTGGATTGGTTAAAATAGAAAAAAAAAAAAAAGGGAGGTGCATAGGAACTTGCGAACAGATGGCTTGCGCAGTTCAGATTGTTCACTGTCAGTCGAGGTAGAACTTTTTTTACATTCTCCCCACCTATTTTGACTAGGCTGGCATGTGAGATATAAGTGCGAAATTACATTGTAATTGTGCGTTTTAAAAACAGCTGACTCAGAAGACAGATGTTTAACTTTATGTTCGTTTTTCTTAGCTTTCATGGATATTAGCGGGAAATACAAATAAATAAATAAAGAGGCACCAAACCGTGGACATTCTAACGTTTACATTAACTGAAGAGCGTGTTGGTAAGTAATAACACGCGCTTTTAACTTATACCCGATGAAATTTTGAATGAATTGAAATCTATTTAATGATATTTTCGACAGTATAAAGTTCTATTGTTATTTCGATAGGAAACCAAATAACTTGTGCGCGTCAAACCTGTTCCCAAGCAAGTTCTAGGATAACAATATACGTTTAACTCACGAATAAGTTAAAACTTATCTCGTATTGTAGCAAACTAATATTGAATTTAAGCACAGAAAAAAAAGGCCGCGAAAGGTACACGAGTCAAGCAATTTGCGGAGAAAATAAACTACGTGTTGTTAAATTCGCAGTTGTTGTAGGGTGCCATTGTCGAGCGACGGATCCATCGCGTGCCGTGCCGTCACGTTGACCGTGTTGTCTGAAACGATAACGCGTAAAATTAATCCTAAATTTTGTAGCACTGATAAAGTGTCTCGTATAAAACAACTTAATTGTAACGCTTATTTATGACTTGCACTTTGGTCGGGATTGCGACTAATTGAAGGGGCTGTGCAACGACATTGGGCAGGAATATTTCTTACTTTACACCAGCTTCCTAACACTAGTGGGACCCAAGAATACTCGAACGCAACACCACTGACCAAGAAGCGTCTTCGTCGCGGCGGAATTCAAAGAATGGAAGCGGAGATTTTCTTTCAGTCTCTCCTCCCAAAGCCGCCTGTTGCTCCTTCGCGAAATTCGATGACGGAGCTGTGGGGACAATGGCAACAGTACGATCCCCGGAAATGCGTCATCGAGCTTTGCGGTGACGATATTCAAATGCTGCTCCCACAGTGGACGCGAAGACTGCGTACGCATTCGATCTGGGCTCGTGACCATCGATGCCTCGACATGCATTCGGGTAGTGGCCCGTGTCCAATCGCTGTAACTACGACACTAGCCGAGCCATAACAATGTCTTGAACTCAGCGCGTGTCCTGTGCTTTGCCAACCACAGCGCGTGGCTATGATCAACATTGGCGGCATATAATCAGCTCCAGATCACGTGGCCGCTTGTTCTGGCTTTGAGTTGAGGGGTTGAACGGTGCTCGTTTTTCTTTAATTTTTTTCTGGGACTTCTATTGCGTGGAGTGAAAAACGAACGCGTGTTTTATAGGTCATTAACGTCAGGGATTCGTTTTAAGTGGTATTTGCGCAAAGTACACAAATTGTTGCATCGCCCCTTTAATCCTAAATGTCTCTACTCCAACGCCATGCATTCCGGGCCGTTTCCACCAACCAGACGCCAGAATTTTGTCACGTAAGCTTGTAGCGTATATTTGCTTGTAGTTTTTTTCCATACAAGGTGAAACGAAGTCCTTGTTTTGAGTAGCGAGCGCCGTCTGGAAAAGTTCTCTGGGAACTACAAAGGAAGTGGCAGCCCAACATGCCTCCGCCCATTAGAACATATCGGCATCGTGCCGTGTCTATATGCGGAGCGGAAGTTCGTCTGCTGCTTTCGCAGGGCTTGTGGTGACGTCAGAAAGACGCCAAGCTCTGATTGGTTCTGGTTGGAAGGATAGTTAATAGACATTAAAGCAAGCTGCCTTGAGGTCTACTCACAATCCTTCTAATCAAAGGCAATCAGAGCTTGGCGTATTTCTGACGTCACCCCAACCCCTTCAAAAAGAAGCAGACGAATTTGCTCTTCGGGTAGGGATTCATTGCTTTCTATATGCCCTATATCCTACCGATATGCTCAAGAAAGAATCGTCAAAAAAGACGAGCATGGCGAGAGCAGAAAGCAAGGCCAGGGGAGATTGTGTACGCATGCTCAGAAGCTTACTGAAAAAAAAAAAGAAAAAAAAAATCTGAACAAGAGCTAAATAAAGATTGGCATACTTTTTTTTTTCTAAACTTGACCGCGACTGCTCTCTCTTTACACTGGAAGTTGTCGTCGATCGTTCATTGTTGATTGGAACCAAGTGTATCGATGTTTATTATTGCGACATCATTACCAGTTCGATGCTATGTCCCACAGTGTCCAGCGTGTGTCCATTCAGCCCAAAAGCTCCGAACGATGTCCCTGGAGCTCGCGTTGGTAACACGAGCACTTCATCGCTTCGTCACGTGGCTATCTTGTATAGCGCAATACGATACATCCCTTCGTTTTTCTTTTTTTTATAAAAATGTCTTGCGATCACGTTAGTTAAAAAAAAAATAAAAAAAAGAGAAAACACATTAAGGCACTTGATTAAAGTTATAGTCATAGTGTAGTCGCACAGGAGGCCTTGTTTGCCGCTGGGATCTTCGTGGAGGAGATTGCGAACGCCTGCTTAAAGGCACTAAAGCATGGCCCGGTGATGCCACCGACGGTAAGTCTGTATGAGTTTCCTCGTCCGGGGTGTCATCTTGCAGTGTGTTCGGTCTGAAAGGCTCGCTTGTCGGTAGCAGATGTTGCCTGTTCCTCCGAATAACC